AGCCTATAAGGATGCTGCAGGTTTTTCCTCCCAAGGTGGAGAACCTTGCATTTTACAGTGTTAAACACCACCAGGTTCTTGTCCACCCATTTGCTGAGCCTGTCCAGGTCAGCCTGGATCGCCCTCCTGTCTTCAGGTGCGGATGCTTTGCCCCAGAGTTTGGTGTCATCGGCAAATTTGGCCAGTCCGCTTCCGACTCCAATGTCCACATCATTAATGAAGTTGTTGAACAACATGGGTCCAAGGACAGAGCCTTGGAGGACCCCACTGGTCACAGGGCACCATGACGATTGGCTTCCGTCAACCACCACCCTCTGGGTCCAACACGGAGCCAACTTCCCAGCCAGCGGATCGTGGTGGACCCAAGGCCACAATTGGCCAGTTTCACTAAGAGGTGATCACGGGATACCAGATCGAAGACTTTTTTGAAATCAAGATATATGACATCAATCTCTTCTCCCTTATCCAGGTGATAGGTCACCTGGTCGTAAAAGGAAATGAGATTGGTCAAGCAAGACCTACCCGCAATGAGCAAGACCTACCCACTGGTTTTGGTACCAGCTGATGATGAACCTGTGCTAAGAAACCAGCAGTGGCCAACAGGACTATGTCACATCCAGCACTGGTCCCACAAAAAATATTGATCCCTTCTCCCCAGTGAGATTCAATTCTGGTTTCTGATGCAGGCTGCAGTTTGGTCTTGCCTACCCTCACGGTGTTTACAGCACTGGTTCAGCTATATATCTGCTGTTGACAGCTGTCAACAACCTTAGCATAGGCAGATTTGCCATTAACTTCAGTGGGAGCATGCGCAGATCAGCAACCTGGACAGCTCACACTAATACTTATGGGGAAAGAAAATCAATACAAACCATACAAACAATGACTGGGAAGAAGAATCTGGACAGCAATATTGGAAGACAGCAGATTGAGGGTTACAAGCATTACAATGCAGTAGGGTAGCAACAAAAAGTCAAGGGGATTTTAGATTGTACAGACAAGGTGTCATAGCACTGATGGAAGACAGGAAGCAGTCTTCTCTACAGCTAGGCATGGGTGCACCTAGAGGACCATGCTCCATTCCAGAAACTTCCAAGAGCAGGAAGATTTCAGCAAACTGGAGGGAACTTAGAGAAATTAGAGCTCACTAGGGGGCTGGAGGGGTTAATATCTGAGGAGCAATTAAAGGTAAATTACAAACTGCTCATGTTCACACAAATTGTGGAAAGCCTATGACAAATGTCTGCTATTACTTAACAGCCATAACCACCAATGAAGGGAGGACACACCTAGGGCACCTCCATGGGGTGGAGCTAAGAGTGAAAGAATTCTGTCAAAGGAAGAAAAAGTAGAGAGTGGTGATCAGGACACATTTCCTACCTGTACAATCTGTCACAGGATATGAGAGTTTCCATTTAGGACAGCAGAGAAGGGAAAAGGCCCTCATTTCCAACTAGCCTGCATACCACATTGGATAACGCATAACAGGAAAACAATCCTGTGTTAGCCACAAACTGGACATAATGACACAACTGATCCCCTTTTTTATTTTCTAGGATCCTGTCACCTCTGCAGCAGACTCAACCCTGGCTCCAGCATGCAAGAGCCTTTTGTTGTACTTCAGTGGCTAGGCGCCCTCTGCTGCTCATATTCTAACCTATCCCCATCCTGAAAACCAAATTAAACAACAGAGAAGAAATGGTACCCCAAGTCAGAAACATCCTCTTGGTCTCTAACACTCTTCCTGCTCCTGTTCAGTGTAATCACCCCAAGTTTGGGAAGCCTGGAACCCCCCATCAGGCCCATCTGAGATAGTCAAGTAGTTCTTGTAAAGGACTGTAAGAGGTTAGAAGGGATGCTGGCTCCTGTGGAAAACCATGGAGCAGAGATGCACACATGGACACAAAGGGCCCAAGGGCCCCCATAGTCTGCTTTGGTCAGGGGAACTGCTGGGTTGTGTACTCCTTTGTACATTCTGCAGTTAATAAATAAGTGAATAAACTGTGCCCTGATGAACAAGCCTCACCTGGGGTCTGAATAAGGGGTCAGTCCTTTCCACGCTGGGGAGGCAGGCTAGGAACCTATGTATAAGCACATGACAACAACTACTGCTTAACTGGGACAGTATTCATGAAGAGTCTGTTTAAGGGGAACCAAAGGAGCTAGCATCAGTGGAATAAAGGTCCTTAATCAGGGTAGCATTGGTGTGAAATTTAAGTTTCTAACAAAGAAGCTACCAAACCACAGCAAGCTTGCCAAAGTGGCCTGGAGAATGCTGCCTGGTGCCCAAGGAGCCATATCTGACGCAAAAGCCTGTCAGCCCCAGGGAGTCCTGTGGCTGCTGAGAACACTTTGGAGACATGGTCTTCTCTCACCTGCTGCTGATATGGATAAGCAGGTGCAAATAACAAATGCTGAATCTGCAAAACTAGTTTCAAAACAGTCACTGAGTACAAGCTACAGTCTCACTTCAACCAGCTCCTAGCAAGGCTGCTGTCTGTGGTAACAATGCTTTGGCCTAGCCCAGCACTTCAAATATCTTCAGCACTGGTTCAGGGAAACCACTGCAGAAATGGATTATCCCCCTTACATACATAAGACCATCTCTTTGTCATTCTCCTCACTTGCCTATGGATTGATATATTTAAAAAAAAACAACAAGAAGAACTAGTTTGCAGGAGTTGTAAGCAAATGGTTAAAAAGTCAGCTCCCAAAGGCAGATTTGCCTGACTCACCTGCTCCTTAAATTGCTCTTGGGACAAGCAGTCAGTCAAGTCCACACAGCCCAAAAGGCAGCCAGAGGGGTAATCAGTAGGAAATACCACATCTGCATCAAGAGGAAGAAAGCAGCAGAGTATGAGCATGGGCACAGGTATGGCCTGTGACCCTTCCAGTCCTCCATGTGTTCTCCATTAGAAACGCATGCCTTTGCCCTCATCTCTTCCCCCCTCCCTCCATACACACAGTTTTGAAGCACAAAAAGACATTAAAGAGATTTTATTTTTTCTAATTCCTTACATGTCTTTCAACCAAATGGTGTAGTGCTCAGGAAAATTTTCTTTGGAGCATGGGCATAAGACAATCATACAATGGGAAAGGCAAAGCCTCTGCCTGCCTTGTCCATGCACCTGAAGCCTGACTTACAAAACTCCTGCTATGCTGGGACTGCGCTCTCAGCATACTCACTCACTGCATCTCGAGACTGACCTGAAGCACTCACATTGTTCCAATCCTGGGCCATGCCCTTAGCAGTGACTGCCAAAGATTGTGTTACACTGCATTATCTCATATGGTAGTCTGGGGATACAGGCAACTGCTGAGCAAAGCCAGCAGAGTCTGAAACACTTATTTCACTTGTGATGATTGTGAGAAGGTCTTCATAAAGACTGGTAAGGACTATGGGGTTTTTGCCTTCTGTAATGGGGATGTGGCCCTCTACCTGGGATCTCTTGAGCATATATTAACAACCTTTTATAGACGCAGGACATTGGCTGCTATGGTCCCCCTGCTTTACCTGTAACAGGTTAGATCAGGGGCAGGCAATTATTTCGGGCAGAGGGTTGCTTACTGAGTTTTGGCAAGCCATCAAGGGCTGCATGACAGGCAGCCAGAGGCAGATAAATATTAATTTTCAAAAAATTTTAGAGGTCCCATAGGCCAGATAGAATGGCCTGGCAGGCTGCATCCAGCCTGTGGGCCACATTTTGCCCACCCCTGGGTTAGAAAGTTACATCTTATATTGTGTCAGGGTTGATGGTAGTTTTAAAAATAGTTTAGATTATGGCTTCATATAAGATGATTTGGACACAGACGATTCTGCCTCACACAGGGGACTGGATTACATAACCTCTAAGGATCCCTTTGAACCCTACTCTATGATACTAGGATATTCTATGATAAAGTAAACAACCAAGAAAAGCCATGATAGGGAGATTCTAGACTCCCAGACAGGAGCACTAGATTGTTGCACATCTTTCCCCAACTGTGGCTTCTCAGGGATCAATCCTGGTGTTCCATAGTGAATGTAGAGCTGCTTTCTCCAAGGAAGGAAGAGGCATCACTTTTGGATTAGTTAGCATATAGAAATACTGCACTGACAGGCAGCATCTACTTGGCCCCGCAGCCTGGAGCAGATTGGCTAGGACTCAATGCCTGGGGCTCATCTAGTCACATAAGAGGAAGAAAGAGATCTGCACAGTAACCTACAGCTTTTTTCCCTTGGATTCTAAAGTGGTGGTAAGGCATGATGAGCATTTCAACTTCAGTGCAGAAACACACAGGCACCAGCTCCTCTGTACACTCACTAGCAAGGTCTTAATGCCTGAACCAAAAATAACTTCAGGCCCTTCACTGCTATGAGGCTTTGTTGAAATGAGGCACAATTCTCTAAGTGCCTGTGCTGTGAATTTCTGACTAGTCAAAAGGATGGGGTCAAAAACTACCCTGCTGCCCTTTTTGGCTGGAGAAACGCTAAAAGGAAAAAGAGAACTGAAAGGAGAGAGGAAGGTTAAAAAGAGCAATGGTAATAACTGACACTTCTCATTACATAGCTACACATATCCAAAAAAACAGAAAGACCCAGAGAGAGGTTCACCTTTCTGGTGGAGCATTCTGTAGACAGCCTCTACTTCTGAGATTTCCTGCAAAGAAGGCCTTTTAGCAGTAGCTGCTATCCATAGTCGCCCCCGGTGAGATGTGTACCAGGTCCTGCCCTCCACCCTAAGAAGAGTAAAGAAAAATTCAAAACTGAAACCCTTCTGAGATCCCACATGAACTAGTTTTCAAAGTTATGCTTCATCATCAAATTCCCGCTAGCAAGCTTTGCCCTGGAAAAGAAAGCTCCCCTCTAACTACATAAACTCAAACATTTGTTGGTACTCCAGAGACAACACTACGCAGGGAAGAGGCACGAAATACTGCTGCAAGCTAAGCATGTCCTCGACACTCCAGGGTGAGAGTGATAAGGACCACTTATCTCTTGCAGGCAAAAAGAATACTGCTTGTTAGATCATACAACATATTTACAAAACTTCAGCCTTCTGCTTCAACTTTCGCATATCAAGAAAAATAGGTATTTTTAGAAGCTCTGGGTTGCTCAGTCAGAAGAGTAACATGGTACACAACCCTATATCAAGTAGTCAGTAACTGCTTTTTTCTTGAGGTGCAACTCCCAGAGGCTATGGCTATCAGTATATAATACTCCATCTTAAACCAAGGGCTTGTCTTCTGGTATTTCCACACCACTCAGATCAAGGAGCACTGCACACAGGGATGTCCTCTCAGCCCCCAGAGCCTAAGACTATAAGGCACCTCCCCAGAAACTTTTGGAAAAAAAAAAAATTTCAGAAACTTCAAGGACTTCTCCCGACATTTTACAGTCAATTACACTGGAAGTCAAGACAGCAGCTGGGAGTGCTGCCCTGCCCTGTACCTCCTCCCCTGTTCCGTACCTCCCAAAGAGTGTGGACACACACAACTGGTGGCACTGGGTATCCAACCCAACTGCAATTTTATGCCTCCCCTTCTCACTAACATCAAGTTTAATAAAGAGCAACTGAATTCAATAAAGACTTTACCAAACTCTGTGTGGTAGTACCGAGTGGGGGTGCTCAAGTATGTGTGGGCAAAAGGGGTGTTGCCTGGACCCCTGCTTCTGGGTTTCTGGGTGTTCCAGGCCTGCTGGAGTTTTCACGGCTTTTAAAGACTATTTTTCCCCAAGCTGCTCATCGATTTACTTAAATTCCTGGCAAATCACCAGGGTCTGGTGCATCCCAGGCTGATCTGTGGGTGGAGGGATAGCCGGATCATTCAGGGGGTGCAGCCTAGACCCCCACTTCTCCATTCCAGGGGAGCAGCCCAAGATCTCTGCAACTTGCTGTGGTTTTGAAATTACTTCCTCAATAAGGCCGCTAAATCACTTTCATTCCCTGCAATCAAACCCAGTCCGTGGCATGGAGTCCCAGAAAGATTTGGGAGGCGGTGAGGGTGGGGTGGGGAGGAGGTGCCTGAAAGCTGCTCATTTAACTTTCATTGCCAGAAACTGCATAGAGATGTGTGTATAAGGGAGGAATGTGCAGAGGCAGGGCAGGGCAGGACAGGGCAGGTGGCAGGGGTACAACCTAGAAGGTGAGGAACAGTTAACAATTAATGGGCCAGTTCACATTTGACAGCATTGAATTGGCAGTCAGTCTGTGGTATGAACTGCGCATTGTGCTGTACCATGGTTTTGCCTCACCCAGAAGCTGGTGGACATTTACAGTTAAAGGTGCACCCACCCACCAGGCTCAGGGCTCCCTACCCTCTGGAACACAAAAGCAGAGGTCCAGACAGCATCCCTCTGACATGTTTTTGGGGAAAATGCTCTTTTAAAGCCGCAGGGTGAGGCAAAAACTATGGGGAGCCCCAGAGCATCCAGGGCTTAGACATGCAGAAACAGGGGTCCAGGCAGCACTCCCACACCTTGTCAGCCTCCCCCCTTTTCTTCCCAGATCAGCCTGAGATGCTGCAGGCTTTGGTCAAGTGCAGACAACAGAGGCTGGGGCAGTAGGGTTTTATCTGAGTACCAGAGCAGCCAGTTGCAGTACATAGAATAAACAGGAGGAACTCGCCCTCAGAATAGCTAGTTCCAACCCAGATGTCATAGGGCTAACAGAAACGTGGTGGGATTCGCCCCATGACTGGGCAGTCGGCTTTAGGGGCTATAGGCTTTACAGGTGGGACAGAGAAGGAAGGAAAGGTGGGGGTGTGGCGCTCTGCGTCAGGGAGCACTACACATCCTCTGCCAGCAGAATGGGGTCAGAGGAAGGGCAGGCTGAAGTGCTCTGGGTTAAGATTCAAGGGGACCATGGGGAGAGCGATTTGACGGTGGGGGTCTACTACAGACCCCCCAACCAAGGGGAGGAGCTGGACCGGGAATTTTCGGGCCAGCTTGCAGAGGCACTTAAGGCAAGGGATGTAGTTGTCATGGGTGATTTTAATTACCCAGACATCTGCTGGGAGGAACAGTCAGCCAGGACGGACCGTTCCAGGAGGTTCCTAGCTGAGATACAGGACCTCCACT